AATATGCATGACATCTAAATTATGTCGCAATAAGAGAGTTCTCTAATATGGCAAATCAAAAAAAATACTTTTTTTATTCCAATTATCTCCCCGCCTTTTGTGTGATATTTTAATTTTCTTCTCTGGATGATTGGTCAAGGTGATCCCTATAAGATCTTCCACCTGCTTAAGGATGTCATCTCCGGTCAGCTTCGGTGCTGTATACCCTCTCTCCCTAGTGCCATCAAATGATTTCTTATCCTTTCTCCAAATGTGATTTTCATCAAGATAGCGACGATGCCCCATATAGCTCTGCTTGCCTCCATATTTTAACCTGATAGAGTGAGTGTGCTTATTACAACAAGGACATGCTAATTTCCCCTTAGTGCTCCATCCAGATAAATTTGCATAAGCAGAAAAATCATTAATAGTCCAAATTAGTGCTGCACGTAAAATGAAATTCTGTCTTAGAGATACATCATATGTTTGAACGCCTGAGGCCCACAACTCCTTTAGTTCTTCTATCAATGGTTGTAAGTAGGTGTCAATAGCATCTCCAGGACCAGTTGGACCAGGAATGAGCATAGATAAAATAAAATTGGATTGCTTCATGCACATCCATGGTGGTAAGTTATATGGTACATACCAATTGTTAGACCCTAGAGGGGGGGTGATTAGGGTCTTATGCTAATCTAATCCGATTAAATGCCAATTAAAACTTATTAACAAGTTATCCTAGCAAGTATGAAATACAACAATGTATATGAGCTAGGATAAGTAATATGAACAACAAAGAGATATATCCTATATGATGAATATGTATATATGCAAGGATATATAAACAACACAAGGGTAAAATAAACAATCTACACAAGTGATAGGGTAATATGATGAGCAATACACAAAGGCGATATAAGATATGAAAACAAGAATAAGAACGCCAATGCAATCACAAACACACGATATGATCACGGAGTTCGGACCTTCCGTCCTACGTCTCCGCTCCCCACTCCCGGGGAGAATTCCACTATCACAACCGGGATTTCTATGTTCACCCGAACAACGTTTACACCTCACAGTATCGGTTTTCAACGCTCACCGATCAACGTCACTTCTCACAATCGGTTTTCTAGTTCACCGAAAACTTTCTCACCACACTCGGTTTCTAGCTCACCGAAAACCTAACAATCTCACAATGTAACAAATATAAATTGTTCTC